CCTCGAAGCCCCAAGCTCGCCATAGGCCCTCGACCTCGAAGCCCCAAGCTCGCCATAGGCCCTCGACCTCGAAGCCCCAAGCTCGCCACAGAAACGTTCTCCCCACATCGAAGCCACAACTCAGATTACCCATGAGAGTGATTCAAGCTTTAAGGTGTAGGCTTTCCTTGCTGTCTTGAGACTTAGGCCCCTAAGTCCGGAACCTCACCCCAAATTTGCTGCTAGTCCACCTCCCAGGCCTCAAAATTTAAATTAATTCTCTACACCCCTAAACCCTAAACCCGAATGCAATTTTGGCCATGCGGCAGGAGCTTTCTGGCAGGTTCTGGCGGCTCACCCCATGCCACCAGGGGCAGGGGAAAAAATGCGTGTGAGTTTTCTGTGCGGACTACAGGTGTGCAAAAGCTACTACTGAGCACCAATGACTATCAAGTTTATCGACCACGGTTTTTATTTATTAATAACCCCATGATACCTAAATTCAGAACAATCCAATCCTTAACTGTGGTTATTTAGTTGTCCTGGTTGTGGCATTGGCACCACAAAAGCATAAAAAAGGATTTCCTTTTTTTCGCCCTTCCACTAAACATCTAAGTAAGGCCCCTATAGCAGACGTGTATGTGAAGGCTTCGGGGTCTCATCCTTCGGATTACCGAAATCCTGAGCCCCACAACGACGCCCTCACACCCAAAGTGCAAGCTGAAAGCCCTAAGCCAAGAGTCCGAAAGAAGCCGCTAACTCCCAATCCTTCAGGGCTTAAACAATATAAAGATCAGCAAAGATTTCCGCTGAAGTCCTGAAAACCAACGTGTTACACCCGGAGACTTAAAGCCCAAGGCCCAAAGGCCAAACCCCGAATTCCTGCCTGCTTCGCGAAACTGTGTCGGAGTCGCCTCTCCATGCTGCCCCGTCCGAACGTTCTAGGAGTGGCCACTGTCTGGCCGACTTCACACGCTGTTCATTTTGCAACTACATTGTACAGTGGTCAGACCTGCCGTGCTGCGTTTCATCCTCCTGTACTAAACCATTTGGCTGTGGCGGCCGATATCTGCCCCCCCTTTCGGAGCCGTCGTCAGCATCTTCCCAGGTAACCTGTGTTGAGCGTTTGCAAGCCGAGGGCCGTGAGCAACGTGGATGCTCTGTGTGCAGTGCAGCAAGTTCATCCTTCCCCCTCAACGTCTCCAATTCAAAATGCTGGGAAATGCATCCGGATTTGGAGATCCGTGGTCGGAGGTCCGGAAGATTCACTTTCGGGCCCGGACGACCAGAAGCGGCTGCTCAATTCGAAGTAGAACTCATACACTTAGTGGCTGAGCAGGTTTCCTTTAACCTTTTCGGGTTTGCATAACCCTGCCACGGTTGAAAAAGCTTACCTAATTTGGGCTAGGATACTCGGCCCCTAAGCCCAAACAGGACTTGGGACCTGTTACCTGAGCTTAGGGTTTATCGGCTCTTTGGTCTGAGGCTTCGGGCCCAGGGGTGTAGGGCTTCAGGGCCTGAGAGTTACCTGGACCCTATAAGCCTTGTTTTGGGGTTCCTTGTAATGAGTTCCTCCTATAAGTCCTTAACCTACGTTATTTGGGGGTCAGATGAGGCCTAGGGCATCAGGCTTAAGGATAAGCGCCTGGGATAAGGACCGCAGGGCTTAAAGCCCAAAGCTTTGCTAGCCTAAGTCCCGAATGCGCAATGCCATAGAGAACTCAATGGGGGGGGGGGGGGGGGGCATCAAAATAAGGGGTCTCTTTCGCGGTTCTTATGATAAGGATCCTAGCAGGTCCTAGCATCCGACAGGGGTTTCATTTATAGTCCATACAAGGTTCAATTATCCCTGCAACTCCCAAAGAAGGAAAGCATAAGAGATGCGAGCCCTGACCATTTCAAGCGACTCGTGCACTCTGCACAGGTCATGTGGACAATCCGATCAGCTTGGGCGACGTTGCAGAATGGTGGGTTGCCTAGACGGTTTGCAACCAGCAAGTATTTCTGCCTTGCCGACTTTGTGTGTCGGGCTTCTCTCGTAGGCATCACTGATGCTGTCACTGCCGCTCTGGTGGATCATTAGTTCATGCTTCTTGGTGTGCTGTGTTGGCCTTTATTACCGTCCTTTGTTGCCGTGCTCTTCATGTTGTTGCTTTGGCAGTAGCGTAAGTAAAGCTGCTGTTGCACCTTGCACCTTTCGCCTCATCATGGTGAAAGGCGAATGTTTCGCTGTCATGAAGGCGATGCTGCTGCTGATTTTGATGATGCTGCTGATAATGACGATGTTGATGATGATGGTGATGACCACGAAGATCACTAGAGGGATGGTGTTCTTGTCCTTTCAGCTTGAGGACCGATTGTTGTTTTGAGAAGATCTCGGCAAGAGCTTTCTCCTTGCAGATCGACTGGACGAAGAAAGTATGCTCAAGTCTGTTGTGCTTCCCGTTTCCCTTACCATACACACCTGCGTTTAATGAAAGCCTTGCGTCCCAAGACCTTACAGAAGATTCCCTAAACCCCGGGCTAAACACTAAAAAGCAGAGGGATTTCCCAACATCGGGTGACCTAAGGCCGATACAGTCCTCCAAGCCCCGAAGTTCTGCTTGAAAGAGTCCGAGGGGGCTTCGTGAGTCGGGTTCAGGGTGTAGGGTGTAGGTGTATGAAGGCCCCGTAGTTGGGGTCTTTGTACTTGCAACTTGCAACCCTACATCTCCCAAGCTCGAAGGTTGCGGTCCGCGGGGTGCTCTGCAAGGAGCAGACTAGGAGGTCAAAAACTCTTAGCACGCTTTAGGGCTTCCAGGGTTTATAGTTTTATGGTGTGACCGGGTTTGGGAGCTTCGAGGTTCCGACTATGGCTTCCGGGGTGCGAAACTCATTTTTCAAACCCACCCCAAACCCTGGGAAACCTTGAAACCCTTCAAAACGGATCAGGTCACAGGCCACCGCTCCCAGCGGTGCAAAGGCAGACCCAGAGGTCCCACCCGAACGCTTCTAGACTGGCTGTTGAGCATAAATGGGGTTTAGGAGTCTAGGGTTTAGGGTTTTGCTGTTGTAGGGTTGGGGGTTTTGCTTCTTTCAGCTCAGGGTTTTATACCAACCCTGATTGCCTACAAAGTCCCCACCTAGGTTAGGGTTAGGGGGATTCGCAGGTAGTCAAGCTGCGTAGCTGAGGGCTTCGGTGGCTTGAAGGAGTTTGCCTTTTGAAGGGCTTCAGGGACTTGGGTTCAGAAGCTGGTTTGGTTTAGATTGGGGTGCAGGGTTTTTTGGGGACTTGGGTTCACAAGGTGGCATGGTTTAGATAAGGTTTCACTGGTTTTCGGGATATAATTATGGCCTTGGGATCACCAGGTGGTCTGGTTTAGATGAGGGTTCAAGGTGCTGGGAATGTAGGGTTCAGGGTTTCGAGGGTCCTGTTGAAAGTCCTTCTGCCCCTTAGCTCGAGATGCGGGTCCTTGAAGAAAGGAGCATTAATATCAGCAACCAGGAATCTGCATGGGTAGTTGTGCAAATTATGGTCCCTAATTGGATACCCTAACTATTAGGTGCCGTTTTATACTAAGGACCCGAAAAGGGACCCTAATTTTGACAACCACCCACATGAATTCCTCATGTTATGAAGTGTGGGTCATCGCTTCCCATCAGGTTCGATGTAGGTAGAAACGGACCTCCAAGCCCTTAACCATCCTACACACGCACTATAACCCTTACCTGGACCCCAAATAACCTACCTTGTCAGGGCAGGGTTCCTTGGTTTCTTTTTACAAGTCCTTGAAAAGGCATGTTACTTGGGGTTAATTTAGAACCAAGAGCCAAGACTGTCACCCGTCGGTAGCTGAAGTTACAGGGCCTTCCTGGGCCCGATGCTCAACTTGGATTCTCAATAACTAACCTTTAAACAACTTTCTGGGTTCTTATCGTTTAGTAGGAATCGGAAAGTTTAGCCTTTTAGTTCTGTGGCGTATCGGGGTAGTAAGTTGAAAGGGCCGCAAGATGCAGGAGCTGCTGGGGATTCGGATCTTTGTCTCTTTAAATATCGTACAAATCATTTCGGGCCTTCCAAACTAATAGGGACCCTGAGGGGGGAGGGGGGTAGGGGGCCATTAGTCCTACCCCCCTCCCCCCCTACCCTCCTAAGGGTCCCTATGACAAACCGCACCATTTGAGAGCCTCGGTGGGTTTTGGCTGCTTGGCAGGCGCCGCAATACGTCGCCCCTGCTGAATTCGCTGGCTTTGCCTCTTCGGAGATGTGGGGATCTTGTTAGAAAGAAGCATTTCCGTGCAGCAACTGGTAGGGATGAAGTATTCTAAGTCATGCTTTGCTGCGAAGGGTGCCTCTAGTAGACACTCTGGATATCCTTAAACTCAGGCACAAATTACAATCTCATTTGCAGACCCAATGCATCCTGAGGTTGATCTCATGTTGTTTCATGTTTGTCGATGGCCTCCGGTTAAAAGTGCCAGGAGTGGTCAGAACCAGAGAGTGTGCGTAAAAATGAGGCTTCAAAGCTTGGGGGGGGCACTTGGCTGCGCGTAGTACTATAGGGGCCTAAAGAGTTACCAATACCATTTTGGGGGTTCCTGATTATATTTAGAACATAATGCGCCCCAAAACCCTGTTCTCATTATTCAGGCCCCTATTTTGTACTCCCTTTATAGATCCCTTATAGTAGCCCCCTTAAAGGAACCCTATGAAACCCAAGAAGAAATTCCAGGTAAGGCTTCGGCCTGGGAGCCCTCCTTTAGGTGCAGTAGAAGCAGACGGAAGTCAACTTTCCACCCTTTTTTTGGCCTCTGTCTTTTATGAATGATACCATGGTATATCTGAATCATACTATGGGGTGGTTTCTAGACTTTTCTGCCGAAAGCCACGACAACGGCGCAGCTGCGGCTCCATGTTTGCTTACGGGCATACCGGCATGCCGTCCGAGGACAGCCCTTTTCCCATTTTGTTTGTATGATGACTCACACACAATGGTGGTGAATGGTTTCCCCTACCCAAAGCTCAGATGCATCGTCTTGAGGAAGAAGAAACGGAGGAAGAGTTGGAAGATCTGCCTGAAACGGAAAAGGAGGTGGATCCCCTTCGTCATGCGAGGATCCGGCGTGAGATAAACGGCAGGCCCTTCAGAGGCCGTGTGGAGGACATTGAGCAGGGCAAGGTCTCTCATGAAAGAAGCTTCATTGCACTCAGGTCGCCCTGACATGAAGATTCCGGCACATGTATAAGTCCGGCGCATGGTCCAACACCCTCCTTGCACAAAAACTGTTTTCGCTTCTGTCGCCAAGGATTGTACCGAATAAGATATGACGATGGCGATCTGGATCCCTGGCATGTAAATCAACATGTTTGAATGAAGGTGGTTGGTTGTGTGGGACGTCTGCAAGAATCACACCTTTATACGTGGCTGCCCAGGAGCACATGACCCTCGAGGAGGTGAGCCGGTTCGAGATCGGAGATGACTACAGCGATCGCGGCAGCTGGTTCGGGAACTGCCGTGGCTACAATGACTACGACCGCGAAAGCTACGACGGACCGTTGCTCACTGGTGAGGCGCAAACAGCGGGAAACCCGCTAGTGGCGAACCTGGTGGCATCCGCTTGCCGCCTTTGGAGTCCCGCATCCAGCTCACACTCTTGTAAGCATGTGTGTATAGGCATATATACATTTATACCGACCGACAGAGAGACAGAGAGACAGAGAGAGACAGAGACAGATAGACACATACCTATATGTATGTATATGTATGTATGTATGTATGTATGTTTGTATGTATGTATGGGTGTATATATACATGTATATATATACATATATACACACATGTGTGTGTGTGTGTGTGTGTGTGTGTGTGTGTGTGTGTGTGTGTGTGTGTGTGTGTGTGTGTGTGTGTGTGTGTGTGTGTGTGTGTGTGTGTGTGTGTGTGTGTGTGTGTGTGTGTGTGTGTGTGTGTGTGTGTGTGTGTGTGTGTGTGTGTGTGTGTGTGTGTGTGTGTGTGTGTGTGTGTGTGTGTGTGTGTGTGTGTGTGTGTGTGTGTGTGTGTGTGTGTGTGTGTGTGTGTGTGTGTGTGTGTGTGTGTGTGTGTGTGTGTGTGTGTGTGTGTGTGTGTGTGTGTGTGTGTTGTGTGTGTGTGTGTGCGTGCGCGTGTGTGTATGTGCATGTGTATGTGTATGTATGTGCGTACGTATGTGTGTGTGTGTATATGTAACGGTGCGTAATGTTATGTAGTGTTACTTTATGTAATATAATGAAGTGCTATGTAATGTTATGCACTGTTAATGGATGTTATGTAATGGTACAAAATGTTATGCAATGTTATGTTATGTAATGGTATAAAGTGTTATGTAATTCAATTTTGTGTAATGTTCCGCAACGTTCGGCACTGTTATGTAATGATATGTAATGTTATGTATTGTAATGAATGTAAATTCAATATTTGGCAATTATTGCAATGTAATGGCATGGTATGGTAGGTGTGTATGTGCATATATATGTCAACGCACCATGGCATGCATTACATCTATGCGTAAATGTATGCGTTTATGGGTATATGCGAATATACCTACACATAGTAGAGTTACTCAAGCTGAACTTCTGCAGGAGTTGAGCAAGATGGCCGTGGAACGCGCGAGGGCTCTTCGACCCAAGAGCTCCACTGTGTCAGAAATGCTTGCGGAGCTGTGCTATGCTCGTTGGATCTTCCTGCGCAGCAACCGTCTACCTTTGGAGGCGCAGCACCTAATTCGCTCGTTCCTGCTGAGCCCGACACAAGAGATGGCTGGCCGAAGGATTGTCGGCTTACATAACGGGCATGATTTTGACTTCCACTCGATGGCAAGCTTGCCGGCCGGCAAACTCATGTGCCAAGTGGGCAAGGACGGGGACGGCTGTGTCGACAAAGTGTGGTCTTTGGCAGACTATTGCACAAGCCAAGGCTGCCCTGTTTCCGAAGAAGCTCCCGTGGCTCTTGCTACCCGTGCTTTGTACGATGACGAGACGCTGATTCCTTTACCCGCTGAGTTTGCCGCGCTTGTTCCAGGCGATGCGTCGCCTGCAGAGTCTGTCTTCGATGACATGGAGTCAGCCGACGGGTGGTTCGAGGACATAGAGCTGTTCGAGGAAGAGGACAGCGGAGACAGTGAGCAGGACCAGGAGCACGAAGAGTGGCCGGCTCGCAGGCAAGGCAAGATTCCACGAGACCCTGAGCGCCATGTTCGACAGGGAGGCGAAAAAAGGGCTTGTGCACCACAGCTGCCACAGGATGTTGAGCTGCGACACCAACTGGAGAGCGGCGACGTGGTAAGGCAAAATGATGGACGATCCTGGAGCCACAAGATTCGCGACCTTCTCCGGCAGGGCGCCAACCCGATTCACTGCATGACCCATGCCGAGTCAAAGGAGCTGTCAACGTTCGAAAAGGCCGTGAGCACTTTCGCAAGCTGACTGTCGTTGGGAGCACTGCACTACCTACAGACTTACGCAGACCTTTAAAACCCAAGCTGCCAAGCCCTCTTTAACCGAGCAGGTCGGCAAAGCGAAAGCCTCGATGCAAACTCACCTGGACGACCTTCGTGCCGGCCGACTGTGCCGGCACCAAGCACACTTCTCGTACAGGCCTTCCTTGTTGAGGGTTTGCTGATCCTTTCCTCGCAGTCTCGGTCCTGCCTCAGATCTGGGGGCTGCGCTTGACCCAGACCCTAAGCATCGCCAAACACGACGTGCTGTTTCAAACGAGGGCTTCCCTTCAAGTTCTCCAAGTTGGCGTTGCTTTAGAACAGCACAGGTATGCAAGCAACTTCGAGGCGATCAAGAAGTCTGCACGAAACTTCATGGATCACCTGGGAAGCTTTGATGAAGTCCTCGAACTCCTAGCGGCCGTGGTCAAGGTTTGGGAAAGAGCTGCTCCGGCCCCCGCCATGTGCTGTTCCAAGGACTGCTTGCATGGCCGCGGCTGGGCTTAATAAAGGAGTCTAATAATTAGAATAATAGGGTTTGGGAATATACTATACTATAGTTACTATAATAGAATAAGGAACCCCTCAAACCCTGTTCAAATGATTATGGCCCCTACATTACCTGGTTCATGAGAGCTTTCTGGAATCACGCGTCGTTTCTCCAGTTCAGTATTTAAGGAGCATGCAGGGCTGTTCCAAAGATTGATTGTCCAGGTGGGGTCCTACGTCCCGACGCCGCCTGCCTGCTTCAAGCTCTGCATGCCACTCCGTGCGCAGAGAACTCAGATGAGACGGAGATCCTGGCTTTGGCAGACAGGATCTGGAACATGCAGCAGACCTGGAAGGCACAGGGCCTGAGAACTGCCCCAAACTGAGGTGTTAGAGCAAATTCCCCCCGACATGATCGCTACTGCGCTTACGATGATGTGTTACTAGTTTTGGGATGCTTCGACGCAGGCATCACCTCGACAACTGTGCTGCTGCAAAGCGGAGGAGGAAGCCATGTTGGAGGAAGATCAGCGAGCAAGGCAGCAGCGAAAGAAAGATTTGGAGCGGCGAACCCAAGCAGAGCGCCAGCGGAAGCGAGCGGAACGGGCCGCACTTGCTGAAGAGCAGCTGCATCAGAGGCTGTGTTCGTCCGAGCTCAAGAACGGCACTGGTCCGAGATGCAACCTATGCGGGGTGCGAGGCGAACACTTATTCAGCAACACGCAGCTGAGGAAAGGCTATCGCAAACGCTGCAGGCAGTGCATGGAGGCTCAACAACTGGGTGTGGTTGAACGACACATGTAAACGCATCGCTGGCCTTGATGAGAACACATCCGGACATAATGTCGGGAGCTGAAGCTCCTCGTTTTCAGAAGACTTTGCGACTCCGATGCACCGGTGGGGGCGCCAAGAGCCAAGGTGCGCAGAGCATTCGTTGGACCGTCGGACTGCAAAAGATGGCGAAGCCTGCGTTCCCCGAAGGGCCCCTTCTGGTTTCCCGAGCCCGCAAAAGTCTACAACGAAAGGACTGAGTTGTTAACCCATCATCCCGACAAGGACAGTGTCCTGAACCCAATGTAGATTGTAGGAGGTTTCAATTGGTGAGCTGCAATGGCGCACGCGGTTTGGAGACAGGGTTTAACAGTCACGGTGAAGGCTGGCGGGGTCCTCTGCAGGCTAGCCTAGACCATCCTAAACAGTCTTGCAAAGCCGAATAGGTCAGTTCAAACAGTCCTTTTGAAGGTTCACCAGAAAATCAAAGGTCAGCCTAACCCAACACTCAGGAGCTCGCCCCGCGAAACACGAGCAAACGATTGAGTACCTTTGAACAACAACTCATCTCATAATAAGAGCCAGGCACCCTTCTACTGGGGCGTCAAAGGTGCCTTGGTTGGGGGGTTGGATCTCCCTTGAAGTTGAGCCCTTGCCTACTTACTTGCTATTTCGTACGGTCCTCGCGTACACCCCAATATCAACACAGGGCCGTCGTGTCTGTCCTTCGATTTTCTTAAAGGGGGCCACATGTCGAGAATGAGACATACATTGAGGAGGCTGTGTAAACAAATGTTGGAGCCACAGTCTCGAGCTCATCGGTTTTGTGGGTTGTTAGCCTCCCTCAGTGTTTCGGGGTTCTGGATTCTTGCCTTAACCCTTTCGAGCCCTAAACTCTGTTCAGAGAGTACGAATTGTGGGCCTGAAGTACGAGAGACCTCTGAGCCCTTTGCGCTTTCAATAGTTTTTAGTACAGAGCAGAGAAACAAAGTTGGACGGAGCTGGGTCAGCCCAGCTTTGCATCTGAGATGACGGTCAGATGGATCCGCCACAAAAGCTTTGTTCTGGAAGTTTTCGGCGCATTTGTTGGGATTGTTTAGTGCCGAGTTCATGTCGGCATCGCAAGCTGTAGAGTATTCCATTATGGTCCTGGTGTAATTGTACTGCAACACGTACGTACATAAGCCGTATTCTCAGTATGAACACCCCTATCCCCCAAAACATCCCGAAACCCACAAAATGTGCTTAAAACTTCATAAAAATATCCGACTCGAAGGAAGCCGCTATATTACCCTGACCCGCATCTCCCAAGCCCCGTTTGCCTTGGTCCAACCCTCAGGCGCTGATGATGGGGAGCGCCTGTGGGATGGGAAGAAGGACACTTTTTCCGTCGACGGTTGCAGCGAACTTTCCAGAAGTTGAGCGCCCAGAGTTATCCTTTAAAGGGTACTATACGGGATCTACAAGGGTACTATAAGGGATCCTTTAAAGGGTACTATAAGGCTTTCCAGGTTTAGCGCCCAGAGTTCAGGGTTCAGGCTTTCAGACTCCAGGTGTGGCTCTTGAAAGGCTCCACGCCTGGCCGTCCAAGATCAGACACAGTCGCCCCTGAAACTGCAACCTGAAACCCCAGGCTGTAGGACCTAAGCTCCTTAACCAGTACCAAAGCCCAAGAAGCAAGGCAAGCAGTGCCTGCAGAAGCCCTTTGCGCCCCCGGAAATAAGAGTTCACGGACCTGGTAGCCAGATACCGGTCCGAGCATTGCTCTGAACATTCTCACGATGATTTACCATGATCGTCCGAGATTGGCCCCGTTCCTGCTCGTAAAGGTCGTAACGTGCCCCAAAAGGGTCATTGTAGATCTGCCCCGGGGTCGGAATCCCTTCACTGCTCCCGCCTCATCCTTCAGGTTTCCGGCCTTTCTAAGAACCTGGGACCCCCAAACTCTACCTTGACCCCGAATAACCTCCCTTTTAAGGGCTAATATAAGGAAACCATAATACAGAACCCTCAAAACGCAGGTTATTCAGGGTTAAGGTAGACCTTCTGTACTGGACGCTGATCTAGGGACTCGACGCTATCAATAATTTCCTTAAATCTTGGACCCGCAATCTTCGGAAACCTTAGGAAACTCCAGCGATATCCGGACCGGCCAGGATCTTCTTCAGCAGATGCGTAAGCTGATGCGACCGCTCCCTCGCCCCTCGGAGATCTACAAAATGCGGTGGAAGGTTCTAGGGTTTTAGTATTTGCGTTCCCATCCAGTCCTCCTCTAGTTAAGTATCATATGCCACAGAACCCGATTATCAAGGCCCTTGTAGCTCTGGCTCGAGACCTTCCAGTGGTGGAGCCGTTAACCACAAACCCTCGAGGGACCCGTAACCTATGGCTGTCTTCGGCGACTTTGCTCTGAAGGATGTTCCAGTCGGGTCCACTCTGGACATTGTGGTTTTTCAGGTCAATGGTGGCATCTACAAGGGCGCGATGCATGGGGATTTGTATTCTTGCCCAAACTTGGGACCAGGCTTTTGGACACTTTTCGGCTACACCCTTAGCTCCGTTGAGCGTAACGTGGGATATCTTACATGCAACGAAGAGTCCAGGGCATTCCCAAAACCTGACCACTCGGCAGCCGCCTTTGGAACAGTTGTGGAGGTTTGTGCAGGAATCGGTGGCCTCGGCCTTGGAGCTCGGTTTTCGGGCATGCACATACTTCTGCAGGTCGAAAGGACGGACATTGCTTGTGAGACACTACGCTTGAACGGTGGACCTGTGCTCGCCGGTGACATCGGCGCCCCAAAGGTTCAATACAGCATTGCTAAGGCGTGTCAGGGCCAAGGCCACCTCTTGGCAGCCAGCCTCTCAAGCCACAGCCTCTCTTTGCCTGGCATGGAAGGAGGACACCCGAACTGGGAAACACATATCCTCGGTCAGATTCTCCAGGTTGCATGGCGAAACCAAGTGGCGGGACTGCTTCTGGAATGTCCGCCTGAGGTGCAAGACCGGCCACAGGCCCTGCAACTTCTGCAGCACTTCGCGGCTCGTATGCACTTTAAGGTACAACAGGTTGCGCTCGAACTGGGCGATCAGTGGGCATCCCGCCGCAATCGCTGGTGGTTCGTCATGCTCCCACAGGAATTGCCAGATCTGCACTTGCCCTGTTGGCTGCCCACTCCGACTCCCACATTGGTGTCGGACGTGATTGCGGAATGGCCACTCTGGCCCGTGGAGCAGGAAAAGGAACTTGCCAGGAGTCCGGAAGAGGTCCAGTGGGACAGCGAAACCGTGGGTGGCCCCGAGAGCCACTGCCTGGATACCCAAAGACAAGCCCCTCAGGCTCTTCACAGTTGGGGCTCTGAGTTGCAGGCCTGTCCGTGCGGCTGCCGTGAAGCAGGCTTCTCCGAGGCCACGCTGCGTGCCATGGGCCATAGGGGTTTTAGGGTTCTTGGCCCTTTTGGGGTTAGGCTTCCTCACGCCGGTGAGGTAGGTTTCCTTAATTCCCTCCCCGCCTCCTTCCTGCATCCCCCGGCCTCGCGTGCAGCATTATGCTTGGTTGGCCAAATCACCGCCCCTCTGCAGTCCTTGTGGATAACCGCACATGTTGCAGCCTGGGCCGAATCAACTTTTACCACAGGCGGCACGACTGACCCGAGCAGGCTGATCCTGGATTACAAGCGCTACCTGCTTGAGACTCGCCGGGACCTTTGGCTTGTGCCGTCCCTTCAGCCAGCCTCTCTCTTGCAGCTGATAAGTGGTGATTCTACATTTGACCTCAAGGTTTCAGGACCGACACGAGTCCAGGCTTTGGCACAGGCTGAGAAGGACCTACACGGGCCAGGCTTCTTGATTCGGATCTTCGAGGGCAATCGCAAACTCCAGCCCAACGCCTTTTTGCATCCAGACCTCCCTTCAGGCACTTATCGCCTTCATGAGGTGCATGTCAAGTCGGCGTGCCGTTCTGTGCCTTCATCTCCTGCCTCTGCTCCACCCACAGGCACCACAGACGTCACGATCTGGGCCGGCTTGCTTCGGCTGCAGGCTGCCTGTGCTCAGCCGGTCTTTATCGTTCCACCGGCGACTGCCACGAACTGGCTTCGACTTGCCTGGCTTTACGATGAGACTGACAACGGCATTGATTTCCAATGGCCAGCTGCCTGTGAAGCTGTTTTCCTCCCCTTCCTTTGGGATGCCCATTGGTCTTTGCTGGTTTTGAGCTTTGCCGGCGGCTCTGTGCCCTCCGCTTCGCTCTTCGATGGCCTCGCCGGCCACAGCCTGGATGCTGCCCGGAGCCTCCTGCGCTTTGTGTGCAAGGTGTGTAATTTGTCCTGCCCGGATGTTGAGCTACCTCAGCTGCCACTGCAAACTGAGCCGACCTCATGTGGTCCCATGCTCCTTGCCTTTGCTGCTCAGGCCATGCAAGGATTCAACGATCCCTTTCAGGTGCTATACCAGGATGCTGTCAGCTTCTGTAATTGCATGCCACCGCATAGTGCAAAGCTGTGGGGCCAAGGTGGACTTTCAGATGCTCAGCAGAGTTCCTTAAAGGCGCTGCTTGTTGAAAGAGGTGTTCCTGAGACAGCTGTCGCTGACCGGGTTCAGGCAGCGGTTCAAAAATTGGGCGCGGGGATCATCGCAAAATCCCTCTCGGCCGAAAACCCCTGGCAGGCTCTTAAAGCAGCCGGCTCAGCGCCGAACCCATTGTACCGCTGGGTCCGCCCTGAGGAACTTCGTGTATATGCCCAAAAGAAAGCCTCGCTGCAATTCGGCACTGCCGTCGGCAATGCCAAAGCCCGCAAGCAAAAGCCCAGCCGGCCCCTGAAACAGGCATTGAGTGTTGACCCTCTTTCTTTGCAGCTTGCAGCAGGGTCATTTGTGTCAGCACAGAATGCTCCATTGGCCCAGCTTGCTTTCGATGAGGTTGTCTCCCAGGCGCAGGGCGTTGCCTTCTGCACGGCCCAGCAAATGATGCCCTTCATTGCCGACTATAAGCCGCTTAGCGTGGATGCCCTAGCCTTGATCTCCACTGCTCCGCTGCCAGCAGAGAGTTGTGCGGGAGCTCCGATTTCGAACATCCGCTTTCCAGCAGTGTTCTCTCCCACCCAAGAGGCAGTCCTCCTCAGCGGCTCCATGTTGCAATTGGGTGACGAACAAGTCCAATTGTCTTCAGCTGATGCAGATATGGGCGAGATCGACCAGCTTGATACCATCACTGGTCGGATCTCTCTTTATCGTGACGAGGCACAACTGGACTGGGAAGTCTTTGCAAAAGCCCCGGTGAAATCGCTCCTGCAACATGTTCCAGGCTTGAACCTTTGCCGTGACAAAAGCTGCAAGGGCGACTGTGCTTCCTTCCATCCGGCGGTGGATGAACGTGTTGAGCACATGCTCCTTGATGTCTGGGCCCGCCAGTTCACTAAGCTTGAGGGCGGCAGGACCGATGCCCTTGCAGCACAGGTCTTCCAAACCTTGGTTCGAGTCCCGAGCTCAGCAGCCAAACACTTGCAACATGTCAGCGTGCCCGGTTTCTACTTTGAACCGCGAGCTACCACCGGATTCGGGCCCCATCCGGCATATGCGGTTGTCTGGTTGCCCGGCCATGATAGGGCACAAGTCGTACACCTGCTTCGCACCTGTGACAAAGCCATCGGCTTGGCTCGCCTGGGCTCTAAGTTTGGGTTGCGGGTTCTCGACGAACATGAGCAAGCCGTCTTTCAAGAGCTGCGCCCGCAGCACACCTTCGTTAAGGTCAGGATACAGGCCCGCTGGAAGCTGCACCCTTTGCCCCACGGCACCCAACGCCATGCACTTGTGCAGTTGCTGAGCAAGTGGAAGTGGCCAGCCCGCCCACTGCAACCATGCAAGGGCGACTCCTCAGGTTGTGCTTGGGAAGTCGGCAGTGCAGTCGACCCTCCTGCTTCCATTATGCAGGCTGGTGACTCTTATGTGTTGATCCACAAGACCAAGGGCGTTGGACCGCAGGCCCGACCAGAGGCCCTGTGTGCCTCTAACCGCACTCGGCGACGCATCCTGTACGATGATCCAGAGATCCCAGCTCCATCAGCCGATCCTTGGGCTGGCGGTTTGGACCCATGGAGCCTTGCACGCCCGCCGCCTGGTCTTCTTCCCCCTTCGGGGGCCGCCTCTAGCTCGGCTCAGCCTTCGGCTGCTGCAAGCAAGATCACGCAGGTGAAATCCGAATTGCAAGCTGGACTTGAAACTCTTGTCCGAAAGGAAGTCCAGACCGCCACCGCTGCATGCGCCGCCCCTGCGGCTGATCAGGACAAACGGCTGTTGCAGTTGGAGACAGGCCTCAAGGAGGTCAAGCTCCAAAACAGTAAATTTGAAGAGTGGTTCGCCACTCTCGGTTCACAGATGCAGCAGCAAGCGCAGCAGGTCGTTGAGGTCCAACAAGCAGTGACTGCCCAAAAGGCCGAGATCGGGTCCCTTCGCACCGAGGTCTCCGGATCCATCATTCAGGCCGTGACCGCGCTACGCAGCGACATGTCCGAGCAATTCACCGCCCAGACGGCTTCCCTGGAGGCCCTGCTCTCCAAAAAGCACCGATCTGAGTGACTAGGCCGTCCCGGCTGCTTCCTTGGGTTTGGAGGCAGGCCGATGCGACTTGGGCCTTTCCGTTTTCTTCAGTTCCTGCTTTGGTTTAGTGCTCTGGCAGCCCCGGCCCAAGCATGCAGCTTTTCTCCTTTTCGCCGCTTTGGAGAGGCATCTCACCCAGGGCCTGAGCCCCTGGTGTCTTTTGGCACCTCCAACCCCAGCGGACTGCGAGGCAAGGAGCAACATGCGGCCGACCTCGGCCCTGGAGTTTGGCACTTCTCCGAGACTCAGCTCTCCGCTGTCGGTTTTACCTCTTCGTCTCGAGCCATCAAAGCACTCACGGGCAACATGCATCGGGATGTGCGCATTTTTGCTGGAGCCCCTGCCCCTTTGCGGCCTGGCTCCTTATCCGCCGGCTCTTGGACCGGTGTGCTTACAATGAGTGATTTTCCCTGCCGACCAGTGCAGCTGCAATGGCTGCATGATTCGTTCCATACAGGCAGAGTGCAGGCGGTGCAGCACGTTGTTCACGGCACCTCTGTCTTCACTGCCAACGTCTACGGCTATCCCTCGGGAAAGACCTTTGTGGATGCCCGTGCTCGCACTGAGCGCCTTCTTGAAACTCTGACACATGAGCTGGTCCTCGGCCGTAAAGGCATTCGCCTGATCTCGGGAGATTTCAACCATTGGCACGACAATCTCGATCAGGTTCAGCTCTGGAAACAGCAAGGCTGGATTGAAGTCCAAGACCTCGCCGAGCAGCGATGGCATCGGCCATTGGTTCCCACTTGCAAAGGCTCCACACATCGCGACTTCATCTTCCTCAGCCCAGAAGCGGCAGCCTTGTGTCACGACGTCAGGGTCATCGATGTCTTTGCTGAGCATGCTACTGTAATCGCCGGGATGCGGTTGACTGGGGTCCACCGCCCTATGTCCTGGCCTCTTCCTTCAGAGATCCCCTGGCAGTCTGTGTCAGTTTCGGCATGGCAGCACGCCTGCCAACCAATTCCTCTTCAAGAGCCCAACTCCACACGTTGGCTGCAATCCTTTGCCCGCGATTTCGAGCGCAGCCTCAATGGGTTCGTGAAGGATTCTCCCGGAGGCCAGCTGCCACACAGATGTCATGGTCGAGCACAGCGACTTTCCCCCGACCATGCTGCTCAGGTCCTTCCGCCAAAGCCGGCCCGACCTGGTGAAGAATCGGCACACCATGATTTACTTTCTTTGGAAGTCAAGCGTTGGTTCCAACAGCTCCGCCGACTGCAGTCTTTGGACCACGCCTTGAAGGCAGGCAACCCCTCGCCTAGTGCAGTTGAGTACCGCTTGGGTTTGTGGCGCTCGATTGTCGCTTCCAAGGGCTTCCATCCTACCTTTGCTGATTGGTGGCCCCTTCGCCCGGTTCGACTTGCCGGCTCCCCAACACAATTTCCTCCCTGGCTCCCTGATGCAGCTACCTGCCATAGACTTTTCTTGGACTTCCGTGACAACTTCCGAAAGTTCGAAGCTTGGAACATTCGGCAACGCCGTGCCATTTTGGCCGAGCAATATGCGCAGAACCGCAACCTCCTGTTCCGTGACCTCCGTGATCCCAAGCCAGAACAGGTTGATACTCTTGAACTGCGCAAGTGCTACTGCGTATTGGCAGTTGAGCCCTCCACCTGCCTTGTGCATTTGGACTCTATCATCGACACACGTGGTTGCAGCCAATGGCAACTAGACGGTTGCAGTGTGCAGGTGGACTCTGTTGTCGGCGATCTCTGCCGGATCCCCGGATGTGAGAATGTTGACGTTGATTGTGAGCTTGAGCAGACTATTCTTCTCTCCTCCGCAAAGGATGTACAGAACGAATTCGAAAAATTATGGTCTTCTTACTGGGGTCGCTTCTCCGACCCAGCCGCGGTTGATTGGTCACGTGTTACGGCTTTCGCACAAGCCTTCCTTCCTCGTTCCAGCCTGGCCCTCCCACCGATTGATTTGCCCCAGTGGCGTGCTGCCATTAAGCGCTTCAAGCCCCGCGCGGCCCGCGGAGCCGATGGCATTGCCCGACTGGACTTGCTCAACATGTCGGACGCTCATGCCCAACAATTGCTGCAGCTGTTTAGGGATATCGAGTTGGGGATTCGAGAATGGCCTGCTCAGTGGCTTATCGGGCTGGTCTGTTGCCTGAAAAAGCCAAACCAACTCCTACCGGACACCGCCCTTGGCTTTATGCCACACAAGGAGGCCTCGCAGTTCTGGTGGATCCTGGAAGCTCAGATCGAGCTTGCTTGTCAGCAGGACCAATCCATGGTCGGATTCTCCACTGATGTGGTGAAGGCCTTTAACGCCCTTCCGCGACAGCCGGTGTTCGCCCTAGCAGAGTGGATTGGCCTTCCCACCACCCTGCTACAGCCATGGCAGGCCTTCCTGACTGGACTGGAACGGAGCTTCCTACTGCGCCAAGCTGTGGGTGAACCATGCACTCACTTCCACATGCGGATTCCCGGAGGGATGCGCATTGAGCACGGTTGCCATGAGCCTTGTCTGCTTGGCCTTCCATGCTTATGTTGAAGCCTTCGCATCAAATGCGGTTCCTCATTCTTACGTCGACAACCTCAGTTGTACCGCGCAGTCAACAGGGCAGCTGGCTGCAGGGATCAACGTCACCCATACCTTCCTGGACATGCTTGCATTGTCTACGGACGCCACGAAGACCTACGTGTGGGCGCTCCAACCGGCCCAGCGCTCCATGCTGTCCAGTGTGGGTTTGCGGGTTGTCGATCATGCTCGCGAGCTTGGTGGCAACATATGTTTCGGCCGAGCGGTCCGTAATGCCGAAATCGTGGGGCGCTGTCAGGCCCTGGCCCCCCCTTTTTCAACGGTTGAAACGTTCTCCTTGTGCCTTTGCCGTCAAGCTCCAAGCCCTCCCGGCCAAGTTTTGGGCCAGTGCCCTGCATGGCATCTCGGGTTGCCCTTTGGCTGAGGTCCACCTGGCCAGCCTCCGCACACAGGCCGTTCGTGCACTGCGCTGCTGCTCCGCTGGCTCTAGCCCGATGCTTCGACTTTCCACGAGTGGCTTGCTCGATGCCGATCCGGGCTTTTATCAATTATGGTCCTCACTTCGAGATCTAAGGCGTTTGAGTGTCAAAGACGGACGGGTGATCCCTTTGTGGGCTGACTTTGTGGCCGGCTTTCAAGGCTCCTTGCTCCCGGGGCCATTCTCTAAGCTTCTGCAGGTGTTGAGTCAGATCGGATGGCGACTGGAACCTCCGCCATGTGTCACGGACCATGAAGGTTTTCAGCATGATCTCACCACAGCCCCATTGCCCCTCCTCCGCCAGCTCTGCGAACAAGCATGGCTTAACCACGTTGCATCTTTGCACCGCCACCGTCGCACCATGCACGACTTGTGGGGCATCGATCTCCCTCTCTTGCAGGCCGATGCCAGTCGTCTTTCGTCTCTGGACAAGGCCAGATTGGCTGCCTTGCAAAGTGGAGCCTTCATGTTTGGGGTCAGTCATGCTAAGTTCGACGAATCCAAGGACGGCCTTTGCTCGTGCTGTGGAGTCCCCGACTCGCCTGAACACAGGGTGCGCAGCTGCCCTCTCTACGAATCGGCCCGGGGCCCTTATGCCTGGGTGTGTGCAGAGTGGCCCAGTCTTCCGGAGTGCCTGCGCACTCACCTTCTTCCACCATGCAATCCACACCTGCCTGCTCTTCGACAACAGCTGGCACGATTGCCGGATCGCTCGGGACAATTCGCCAGCCTCCGATGTACTGAGGGTCCGCAACACGTGTTTTGTGATGGCTCTTGCTTGTTTGCCCCAACTCCGGCTTTTGCTCTGGCGGCATGGAGCAGCGTCAATGCATGCACTGGTGAGCTTCTTTCGACTGGCCCGGTTCCCGGTCTTCAACAGACGGCCCCGCGTGCTGAACTGTGGGGTGCCATTGCCAGCCTCAAATGGGGGCTTCAGGCACCTTGTGGACGGATTCCGCCATGGTGGGCAAGGGTATCCGTGGTCTCTTGGAGGGACCTTCACCTGGGTCCGATGAAAATCCAGACCTCTGGCAGCTGTTGACCGAGCTAGTCGTGGCATACCCTGTAGGCTGGTTGTTGGTGCAGCATGTACCCTCACACCTGGACCCTGGTCTTGGCGTCTCTCCTTTCGAGGACTGGCTTATCCGCTGGAACGGCCATGCAGATACCCTTGCAGGCCTCACAAACATCAACCGAGCATTGGACCTTCAAGCAGCGCATCAGATGGCTTATAACTGGCACCTTCGTCATTTGGAGATTTTGCGCGCTTTGCGTGGAATCTACTTTGGCATTGCTGACATTACAGCTAAGTCGGGCCACACTTGCCCCTCGGAGGTGGATCCGGAGGATACGGAATTTCCCCTACCACCACCGGTGCCTGCCTTGATTGATTCCTTCGAGGATGCGCTCTCTGTCTCTTGGCGACAGCAGGCTCTGCACTCCTGCCCGGATCTCCCACAGCAGTTTATGCAACAACTTTGTGACTTTCTTCTGCAGCAGGGCCAGACGGGCGAGTCATTGCGCCGTGTTTCGTGGCTCGAATTGGTATTTGTGCTACACGCTCATGGAGGCCCTCGGTTTCCGGTTCGAGCACTGACCTCTGGCCAATGGTCGAATCAGGCTGATGTCCCGCTTGGTGCCCCAGCTCTCACCGTGGATGTACAGATGAGCCTCCTTAGGAAGACGCTCCGCCGGATTCTGGTGGCTCTGAGAAGGGATGACATGTTGGTTGATGGTCTTTCGCTTTTGGAGTTCGGGGTCACGTTCCGAATTGGTGGGATTTTGATTTCTGTTGGATCTTCGCTCCTTCAGGCCGCCCGAAACCAGCTTTTTCAGTTCTGCGCCGGCCGCAAGGTTTGTACAGTTGGTGACTTGGCCAGGCTGCCTTGAGACACGTCAGACTCATCGGACACTCGCCTGCGGTTCCGCTGCTGCTGAGCCCGGGCGTGCAAGCTGTGTGTGCTATCAAGGCCCTTGTCACTGTCGCCCTCAGCAGCAATAGGTGCTTGGGGTTCACGTGGCTTAAACGAGGTTCCCTAGCGCAGGAGCCATGCATAATCCCAAGAGAGTTTTGCGCAAGGAAAATCCTAAGCTTCAGAATGCACGGAGATTGTGAGGCCGATCCTTTTAAAGAGTGGCTCCTGGCGCACGTGTACTACACCCCCATCTACCCGGTACAAGAACCTCCGCAAGGCAGCCTAAACATCCTGAGCCCTCCCAGCCTGGAAAACCCCTAATCCCTAAGCCCACTGCCCTGCTTCAACCTGGGTAGCTCCTAGCAGAAAGACTCCACAACACCAACCATTGAAGGCTTCATGCGTCAGACGCAGGCCGGCTTAGTGTTCGGGTTACGGTCAGGGTAGTTCTATCACTATGATTGAGATCTAAGTTGTATCCAAGGTGCAGGAAAAATTTGGGGTTTGAAGCTCAGGCTTTGTTTTTTCGATACTCGGTTTAGCACTGTGCTATGTCGTAAGGGTCCTAAGAGCCCTAAAAGCCCTAAAAGCCCTAAGCCCCTGCGTCTAGTTCCAAATCCCGAAGTTCCAACCTTACCCCTTTCTGCCTTGAGTGTTCCATCACTGAAGAATTGAAGACCGCTGCTAGGAATCTCCTGTTTTCGCAAATAGAACATTGCAGACCTGGAGGTTTTACTGACAGAGCTAGACTGATGTTTCATGTCGCGGTTTGCCCTGAACTGTCCTACACATCAAGACCATGATAGTGCCCAGTCCCGCCAATACCCTGAAGCTTCAAACCTGAAGCCTACAGCTTCCAGACCAACACCGAGACCCAAACATGGGAAAGCCGATCTGATCTAGAGGCCATCCTGAATTAATGTTCCCGCGGGTGCCAATTACAAGATACGCTACTAGGTACCAGTCAGATAGATAGCCCAAAGAACCCCTGGATTAAAGCAACCCCCGTCGCAAGATGTCTTCAGAGCATTTCAGAGCTAGCCCTGTGCCCGGGCCCCTCGACGTGCTTCTGGTATGGAATCCACTGGGCCGTGGCCAGCCTCGCTTGTCAAAGGCTTTGTGTCGTTGATCCCCAAACCGGACTGACGGTCCGTCGCCTCCTGTGGATCTCCGACCCATCACGGTCCTGTCTGCGATGTACAGGCTGTGGGCCAGTACCAGTCTCGCAGAACTCATGGCATGGCAGGAAATCTGGGCTCATCCTCTTGTTTGGGGCTGCCGTCCCAAACCATGGTGCAGAAGCCATGACTGTGGATGTCGCTTTACAATTGGAGTCGGACGCATCTGGAGACTGCAAGTACGCCTAGGGGATCAGCTACGACTTCCGAAAGGCGTTCGACCTCATCCCCTGTGTCGCGGCATCGTTCAAGGATGCCCGACGTCGGTCGTCTTGCTCAATCGTGAGGCTCCTGCTGTCGAGCCGAGGGCTTACGCTGACGACATCAGCGGTTCGGCCCGGGAATCCTCTGCCATCGGTTCCTGTCTTTGCCTTGCAGGCAACTTCGCATGCCAGTGAAACTGTTACCCCCAATCCTCAAGCCTAGCCCCACGCCGCGAATCCCTAAAGCCAGACTCTAAAAATTAGCATCTGAATTAAGATTTCCTGCAATGGCCCACTGAATCCTCAAACCGTGAAGCAATTTAGATCCCGATGCAAAGCCACTGATTCTCTGCAAGCCATCATAAGCGCCCCATGCGAACAACCCAGTTCAACCCTACAGACAACGGAAGCCAGAACTTACCCTAGAAGCCCCTAAACTCTGCAAACATTCTGTTGCAGTTACTACACACCCTATAGCCCTATAGGAAACGTTCCTGTATACCTACCCTGAACCCCTTCGACCCCTTTAGGGCCTCGGCTTACCACAGATTGGAAGTGGCGTAGGGTTCAGGGTTTTTGGGGGTTGAGACTGAAAATGAAAGGGTAGCAATACAGTCTGGGGCTTCAGGGTTCCAAGCTGAGGGTTTGGGGTTCGGCTTCAAGCTTAGATCTGCCATAGCCTGAGGTTGGAGGGGTGTCATCAAACTTGTGTTGGTGTTCTGGAAGACGGGAACAGCTGATTGGAAAGTAAAAGTCAAAATGTTGATCTGTCCGCACAACAGTCAACCAACACCCTGCGGCTAGTCCTCAAGTCCGAAAACCCGAAACTTCAAGTTCAACCAAGGCCTTCCATGTCTGTGTCGGTGGGTTTAGGGTTTAGGGTTTGTGGATCGCCGTTGCAACTTCTTGGGAAAAAGGGCGCTTAAGTAAACAGCCCCTAGCCCCTAGCCCTGGCATTTCGAAGGAAAAGCCCAGAATGCGCGAAAAGGTCCGCCCCCCCCCCAAGGGAAGTCAATGTAGGGCCTGAATAATTAGAATGGGGTTTGGGGTTATACTAGAATTTCATCATAATAAGGAGCCCCCGAAATAGTATAGGTAATTATTGAGGCTCCTATAGTAAGGCTCACAAACAGCAGAACCCCCCGGCCTCCTTCAGGCAAACACCAATGAGGTTCTGGGAAGTGCCAGGCCTCAGAGAAGGGTTTTAAAGTGTAGCATTGAGAGCTTTAGGGTTTGGAGGGTTATGGGTGTTCAGGTTCGGGGTCCCGTGTGGTTTAAAGCTGAGGGTTCGGCGCTCTTGTTTATCAGTGCTGCAGCATGGCCCGTCGTTGTCGCAGCTAGTCCCCTTCACCTCACCAGTACCTTGAACCTCATCACTGTGATATTGCCACGAATGCACCTTACGTATGCTAGTAATGAATACTTGTCATGCGGGTAGCATTAGCAGCAGTCGTCGCTGTAGGGGTACTGTCAGTACTTAGTATCATTTCCCTCGCTTCTAGTAGTAGGAGTACCAGTCGCACAGCTGGACTCGGAGTACCTGTTATTACGATTAGTACCCACGCTACTAAACAAAAATTGGCCTGAGCAGACAACCTTAACTCCTAAAGCGCAAATCTCCGCCGTACTGCGCTATACAAAGGCCTATAGCCCCCAAACCCCCGACACCTCGATGGCTTCAGGTTCGTTTGGTTTTGGCTGTTGGTTTTTTAACATCTAGACGTCCAAGGGGGTTTGAGGGCTTTGGGGCTAAACCCCTGCTGGCGAGGATGATCCCTTTTTGGACTCACTAAAGCCGCTTCCGGGGGTGTAGTGCATCGGGAGCTCTTGCGGCTCGAGCTCGGAGGCTTCAGGGTTCTGTAGGTTCGAAACACGAGGTCCGAAGCCCCGGCAAAGGGCCGTCGGGCCGAAACTGCTTGGACTCCTTAGTGCGGTTGGAGACCCGAAACGCCTGAGGAAGCTTCAGTGTACGTTCGACATAGCGGTATAAACTTCCAGGGACCTTCAGAGGCTTTGAAGCTTAAACTTGTGAGTCACTTGCTTACGCGCTTCCCTTCTTAGTCTTGTTTCCAAACATCCGACGCGTGAAGTTTAGTTTATTGTTTAGGATGTTGCACCCTGCGCTGCCAAGCTCGTCGAGTACCCACTGTACGTGCTAAAGCCCTGCAGCATATGAGGGTTCCTGAACAACCCTCCACAAACCTTTGCAACCCTAGGACACTCGCAAAAGCTCAGCATCCATGCGAACCACAAAGCTCCGAACTTCACCTAGACCCGAAACCCAACCCCCCCCCCTCAAAGCCCAAAACCCGAGAAACCCCAGACAAGACCCCAAACCCTACACCCTCAAACTCTTCGCCCAGAAAACTGGAAACACCGACATCACTCGAGGTCCCGAGTTCTGGTTCGCCAAACTCGGTGCGGGTGCCAAGGCCTCGCCTTGGCTTTGGTGGGTTTTGGGAGCTGAGTTTAGTTGAGTTTTTTGGGCCGAGGTTTAGGGGGTTCCCGACAATGGTCTGGGGGTTGGGGAGTAAGGTTCAGGGGTTTTCAAACCCTTAGGTTCTGAGATCTGAGCCATTTTCGAGGTGGTTACCTTCAGCATCATTTCTTGCAGAAGCACTCAGTGAAATCGCGGAGACAAAGCTCGGATTAAGTGCAACGGGATATGGGCACCACGGCTTGTGTGCAGGTGCCCTAAACCGAGAGCAGAAGACTAGAGTGACTAGAGTGACAGTTCAAAGGTGCTCAAGGCCAAATCGTGAGGAATTTCGGTGTGTCTTGAAGATGAAGCTGTAGCTCTTCGGGCTCGCTTGAAACCTCCCTTCAACCCGACAGACTACAGCCCCAAGCACGAAATCCCCGCCTTAAACCACTGAGATTCAAACCCCGAAGCTTTAAAGCGAGCAGGCGCACATGGATAGCCACTGCGAAAGCACTCTTACACTACAGCTTGCTGGCAGGACGACTTCGGGTTTTGATTTGTCTGTGCAGCATCCACTAATCCGGAGCTTTGACGTGATTTGTGCAGGACTCGAGCCCGAATCTGTTGGGTTGGGGACTTGTTCAGGGCTCCGGCTGGTCTCCTGCAACCCCAAACACCCTGCGTTTGCCGAACACCTGAGGGCTTAATGTCGTCGGGCATCATAGACAAAGGGTCCCAAGCTGAACCCAAAAGAATATGGCTTGGAGGGCACCATGGCAGCATATGCTGCACGATTTCAGAATGTTTCATTGCGTTCCGGACTTGCCTCTAGAGCCATTGAGAACAAGTCTAATAAAGCCGTACCAAAAAGTCTCCTGGCAGTCGATGCAGTCCTTTTTCCTGCAAGAAGCTCCGATTGTGGAATCTTTGCGTGAGCTTCGGGGTTAGCTTAAATCCTGGCCCCTTTACAAACCCACGTATGGCCTCGCAACCACACCAGATCACATGAAGCCAAAGCTCGAAACCAACCACGACTGCTGGAACCCGACCTAAAGCGATCATGTCACCCTAAAGCCTACACTTCGAAAATCCCGGAAAGACTCAACCCCAGACTCCTGCCTCTTAAGAACCCCTAAGCCCATGAACTGAACCTTTATAAACATTTAAGCCCCTCTTACAGCCCTATGAAACCCTGAACCCTAGATCCAAAGGCTCACCGGATTTCAGTCCTGTGGTGCAGTGCAGTGTCTTGTAGGGCTTCAATTTCAGGCTTTGGGAATCAAAGTGCAGTGTCTACGGTTTAAGCTCAAAGGTAGGGTCTAGGGCTTGGGGTTTGGGCTTTGGGCCCGAAAACATAAGCCCTACGGAGCTTTCTAAGCGCATGCATGGAAGGAAGCAGTGGAGGCCAGCACCGTGCATCACAAAGAAGCCAGTAAAGGAGACTTCAGAACTAGAACAGGGCTTTCTCGTATATCTTAGCCTGATGTATCAAAGGTCTATTTGTCCAGTCTTGAGGGTATTTATAGGGATGCAGGATCAGATCTCGGGTCTTGCTTTGCGGTTTGCGTGGTGCTGGGGCTTCTGAGATATCGGAGTTTAGGGTTTGGGGTTTTCGGAGTTTGGAAGTTTGGACGTCGGTTTGGGGTCGGAGACTAGCTGCGCACTTGAGTTGTAGGTTTGAGGTGCCAGGGTCAAGAACTTTCCAACCTGCAATACGATTTCGGCATCATTCTCGGCTTCAGGGCTCTGGCTTTTCACTGTTAGCCCACATTGAGGACTAGCACCGATGACGTATCCATCGGCCAAAAGACTGCAAAATCTGGCATTCGGCATAGGGGTTTCGGTTTGGGGCTCAAGGATCTATGTTTTTATTATAGCGGTGAAGGTTTAGGATGTCAGTTTGATGTTTTGACAATTGTGCTGCATCTGTTGCCGCGTTCATGCTTCGCTTGAGGGCTGTTGGCATGTTCTAGAGGCAACACAGTGTGCCACATGTCTCAGTATGAGAGATGTCTCTTCTCTCTCTCTCTCTCTCTCTCTCTCTCTCTCTCTACCCAAATTCTAAAGACAACACCCCAAAAGCCTATGGATCACTAGGAGTTTGGAGTTTGGAGTCTCTCTGCTTTTCGCACAAGCGAAGGCTCTCCTGGCCTCCGGTGATCGCCAATGGCAGCTACGCCAAGGACAGGCTTCAAGCTTGAACTCTAGTGGCTTATCTAGGGTTTCATCAGAGTAGATGATATCCTATCAAATCATAGACCTCTAGCTTTCGTCGGGCCCGTGAAGTTTCGAGCTCGAACTTTAAGTGACTTTAGCGCAGGCCCTTGAGGTAGGTCTTTTAGTAGTAGACAGGCGAGACCCTGTACAAATGGATGGGGCGGCACTGTAGATGGCTTTGAATGCAACCGAGGTTCAGGCTGCGTTTTGGGGCGGGTTTTGGCTCAGCATATTGACACACTTTGAGTTGCTCCTGGGTAAAATGGCTTAACTGGACCGGGTTCACATTGGGCGCTGGAGCTGTAGGCTTAAGGTCGAGAGCCTTGCATTGATCGGGCATCAAACTGCGCGCGTACTTCCATACTCTAGGCTAGCAGGACACTTGCGTTGGCACTTCGACCGAGTAAGCCCGCGACTCTTGAGTTTGATTCCAAATCTCAACACTTAGCGATGTTCTTCCATTTCACTGCAAAACCTCAGTTAGCTCGCCACATGGGACTTCCGGAAAAAACAAAGGACCCCAAAAATAATGCCAATCTTAGCAGAGCCTCATTCTAAAGATCGAGAAGAGAACATCGACGGCTTTTACTTGTTTCTTCTAGGGCATTGGGGAAATCCTCGGTCCTAGACCCCAAACCGCTAAAGCCCGAAACGGTAATGCCGTAAATCGTCTTCCACATATACCTGCACCACTAAAACTTGAAGCAAAGTCCGACGTGCTCTAACAGAAAACTTGGACTATCCTGAAGTTGTCGGATTTAGGGCAGAGGCTCCGGCATGTCTAGTTTTGTGCAGTTAGAGGATGGCTTCCTGGCAGATGGTCGCCCGTACGACGCCAAGGCAGTCTGGCGTCCGGGGGGTGAAAAGTTGCGTCCCTCGCTTCAGGGCCTTGACGGTTTAGGGTTTAGGGCTTGACATAAAAAACCCCAAACCCCCTAAATGCTGAACCTGAAACCCGAGACCGTGCGGGGTGTGTAGTGGCTTTATCCTGTCAGCGGCAGAAAAGTCGCAGTGCGTGGCGGTTTGGAATGTCGGCTTTGTGGACTTGATGCACAAGCGAGAGCTGAGAGCGGAGTTGAGGAAAAAGACTTACAGGTACTTTGGGTGTAAACCATTTGGGGAGTAGAATAAAAGTCAAGTTTTCGTGACGTTGCCAATCGACAACCTCACATTGATGGGCCTGGGTCTTGCTGCGTCCAGAATGCTGGAGACGACTTGGGAGGTGGATGTAGAGTGCGGTGGTGCTCCAATCAGCTTTCTGTAATGTCTTGCGGTACAGTGACTTTATGGGGCTTGGACTGTCATTCCGCCTGAGGAAGGGTTCGTCCTGGAAACTCCGAAGACACCTACTAGCAGGGATACGCACCTAAAGCCTTCGTTCTCGCAACTTCAATATAGGTGGTTGTCAAAATCATGGTCCCTTTGGGGTCCCGATTATAATACGGCACCCATTATTTTGGGGTACCCAAAAAGGGACCCTACTTTTGACAACTACCCATACGAAACCTAAAGCCGAAAGCTTCAGAAACCCCCAACCTCACCAGACGCAAACTTGGACTTCAAAGCTGTTCCGGGGTTGTCTCGTGTTACTTCGAGCCCCCGGCCAAGAAGGGTTTACGATGGAGGTGTTCGGGTTTAAGTTTGAGGGTTCAGGCTGTCATAAAGGCTGGAAGCGTGCGCAGTCTTGAAGCCAGGGCTTTGGGGGTTAGGGGTGTCGGGGTTAGGTTCGGAGTTACGAACCCAAAACGTCAACGCATGAGGCAAAGACGGGACAGAGTGCATCTTGAACGATGTGGGAGAATCAGAAAACAAAGAGCCCTTACCGGAGACCCTAAATTGTTGTGTAAGACCTCTGCATACTCTTGCAAAAGTACTTTGGGTGCCTAAATAATTATCTATACTATCGTGGGGCTTCCTTATACAGCGTAATGGGCCTCAAAACCCTATTCTAACTATTAAGGCCCCTACCCCAAATATGAGTTGCTTCCGAAGGCCGGAAGCTCAAAGCCCAAAGCCGCAAATCCATTTTCGATTGTTTTCGGATGTGGGGCTTTAGACATTTAGAGCCTCCCATGAACCTTGGAACAGCACCTCCTAAACCCATGAAGCTGTTACTGTAGAAAGAGTAAGATCATCATGAGAGCTCGTGAATACCGTTTCGGTGACCTGTCATCGCCTGGTATCAGTTTCACTTGCTTTTCAGGAACCCCAAAACGTCCCCTAATGATAGAGCTGCTGATGAGGGCGGCTGGAAGCCCACCCATAGCATCACCTTGGAAGCAGGCCGGGCATCGGAGTTGGGATAGTAATGGATTTAGAGGTGTAGGATTCGGGCTGCTAGGTTTAATGTATGAGCTTGGATACAAGAAAACGTTATTCTGGTTTCGGATGTGGGCTTAAGCTGAAGTCCTTCAAGGCATGTAGGGTTGCATGCACAGCCACACCGACGAAGGTAATATTGCCCCCAACGGTCGACGACGACCAGCATCAGCATTAGCAGTACCCGCTGTTAGCAGTAGCCGCAGCAGGAGGCGGAGAGTAGAGTAGCAGTCGTCGTCGTAGCCACAGCAGCAGCAGCGGCAGCAGTCGAAAGTGCTGCCCGTTGCTGCTGTATTGAAGGTAGAAAGAAGAGTAACATCTTAGTGACATAGGTGAGAGACAAGGACAGCTGCAACTGCAAGAAGGAGCGCCCTGGACCTCTTACTCCGAGCTTCGAAGACTACCAGCCGTCCCAGCTGAGTACCTTCTGCGTGTTCAGTGTTTCTTGTATATAGGGGTCGGCCGAGCAGACAAGCCCTGAATTCTGCAGATATCCGGCATAGTTCCAGATCTTGGAGTTTCAGACACCGGTGGACCCAGAGCTAGATCTTACAGAGACGGGTGCAGGGTTCTGATTTTGAGGAGCCCTAGGCCAGGTACCTTCATTTTATCAAAAATCACCAAAAGCTTCAGAATTCCACCATCGAGCCTGTGAAAGTCTTTGTCACAACCTGACAAAGCCTTTGCGAGATCAAACCTCCAAAGGGGCAGACTGCCAGGTGAGGCGCTGCTGATTCCGCCAGCCTTCGTCCACGAAAGTTCCTGTCCCAGTGCTTTACTGTCGTCTTGCGAATAGGCCAAAACACATAATATAGGGCTCTTAGGGTCCCTATCGCAACCTGACCGTAAGGAAAAGACAATTGATCACCATTACTGCTGCAAGCTGGGCCAGCTTAGGATTTCATTATAGAGGGGTGTCACCCTGAAGTTCAGGCAGAGCATGCGGTTTTGCACTGGGGCTTGTGCATAAATCCCGTGGAAGGCATGGTCGTACTGAGCAATGAGCTCTGCCTCCGGCTCCCGGACGGCAGAGGAGAACAAAGTTAGGAAGCCGAACACCAAGGCACTCAGGATGCCTGCGAAGCTGCTGGTTACAGCTTCGCGCCCCTGGTTGCGGAAGCGTGCGGAGGTGAGTGGGATCACGTAGCCATGCAGGCCTGGACATCTCTCGCTCGAGTTGGCCGCAAGTTCAGCTCACCCGACTGCTAAGCTCTGCCAGTGCCAGTGACGCTCCGGCGTGGGAGTGCCCGGGCTGCTCTCCACCGCTTATCGGGCGAGGCAGCAGCGGCTTCCGACCGACCGTAAAGCCTAAACAACGTGGTTTTGATGGGGCAGCGGTTTCGTTTTTTTGGTTGGAGTTCCTCAGGGTGCTCGTCCAAGAAACCCTAAGTCTGAGGTCTTCAAGGGTCTTAAGTTCAGCAGCCCGATGTTCTTAACCCATTCAGGGCCCTCCGAGCCTCTAAGCTTCAACCCTAAGTGGCTGAGACCCTGAAACTCTCTGAAGCCCAAGCTTACAAAAGCACTGAGCAACCAGTCCCGGCATCCCTAGGCCTTGGCCTTACCTCCATGAAGATTCAGCCCTGTAGTCTTACGGCTGATGATAAAAAGCACCGCATTACCTTCAGGACTCTACATAAACTATGGGAATCATGGTATGTTCCTTATTGTGGGTAATGTGGGGCTTATATCATCAACCGTAGTACCAAAACTCGAAGTCGACATACTACAAGCCTTTAAAAATCAGCCGGTAATGCGCATTTCCTCGAAGGCAAGAACGTGGGGTCGGGCGCTGAGTGGCTTTCAACTTTTGGATCCGGGGTTGAGGGTTTGGGGATATTTAAGGTTAGGGCTTTCAGGAGGTTGACTAACACCCTAACCAGGTATCTACTCTGAACTAGAAGAGGGCTTCTTGGCTCTTCTGTGCACGGTTATAGAGTTGGGTGTATTGCGCTCTCTGCATCTGCAGGAGGGTTTATGCAATCTCAAAAGATCTTACGATATGGGCTGAGAGCTTCATCGCGAGCAAGAGTGTTAAGCTTTGACCCTGCAGCCCTACTGTAATACGGTGGCTTAGCTTACTGTAGGTTCCCAAGAAGTTCCGAATCAGGGACTGTGCCCTTCGTTACAAAACTAAACAATAGGTTATGGTAGACTTTTGGATCATGGGCCCTTCACAAGGAACTTCCGCCCCGTAACGGGTGCTTTTTGGTGTGGAGGATGTCAGAATTCGGGCTTGCGGCCCAATTACGGTTTCTTTGTCAAGGTCTGGGGTTTCTGCCCAAAGGTCTAAGAGTCTAAGGCATTTCGCTGTAGGGAAGCTTTCAGATGTTGAGTACTCGTGTTCTTCTGCCGCAACCCTCCGATGGGCCCTAGACCCTAAAGGGCACAAGCGCCTGGCGTGTGGAGGCAGCTCCATTGCTTCCGGCTTGGACGGTTGGACTAAAGACTCTCTTAAAGCCTGGCCCGACCAAACATGGGAGCATCTTGCTCAGCTTCTGCTGCCGATCGATAGCGGCCAGGCTGCGGATGATTTCGCAGGCCGATCGCTGTACCGTGCTTTGTGTATCGAGTCTGGGCCAGTAGCAGGGCCCGCGACCTGTCTGAGTGGCACTCGTCGTGGTGCCCGGCTCAACTTCACAGAGGCATTTGTGGTCTTTGTATGGTGGACCTCAACTTGCATGTGGCGGGTTGATTCGGCTGCCCGCTCGCGTTTCGGAGCCTAAGCGCCACCTCGCCTGCCATGCCGCGTGCTGGTAAGAGTCCTTCCGGTAGTCAGCCGGCTGATTAATAGGCTTCCAATCTCTTCCGGAAGGACCCCCTCATCGGCCCTCGAACCCGAAACCAGAAACCAAGATCACTGCATAGCCCAAGTCCTAAGCCCTGCCTTATCCCGCTGTTGTCCACACCCTACCCATCCCTACCCAAAGTGATGTGGGAGTTTCCGAATATGGGGGTACCTTATTTTGGGGTCCTGAAAATAAAGATCCTAAACAGTGGTGGAGGGCCACCCTGGAACCCTGAACACCCAAAGCCCTGGTTACGGTTGGCCCTAAATCCTAAAAATCCTGAAGCCTTAAAGCCCAGAGCTCCCAAAGCGCCATTATTGTCTTATCTTACCTTACCTTATCTTACATGTATATATATATATATATGTATATATAGAGGGTATCGGACCGAGCTCCCGTAGCGAGCATTGCTGATCGCCCCGAGTGCTCCGGCACGTGTGAGCCATAGGGCGACATCCATCGTCGCCTCCCTGGCACCGGCAGCTCAGGCTACGAAGGGCCAGAGCTCGGCGCCGCATTACTGCGGCTCGTCTTCAGGGACAGCGACCATCATCCGCTGATCTCCTCCGGCTGCATCTACACCATAGCCGGCCGGCTTACCGCGAACTCTCATTGTGCTCCTTTCAGATGGGCAAGAGACCACAATGGAGTGCAGAAGAGTGGGAAGCCTGGCGATCCTCATCGCAACACTATGGTGGTTGGCAGCGACCAAAAGGCAAAGCCAAGGAGGGCAAGGGTGGCCATGCACCCAAAGGTCGCGAGACGCCCAAGGACAAGAAGACGGCTTTCCCATCCTTCGAGGCCATGGATCCGAGTGGAGCGGCCCAGCGAACGACGAGGCCCAAGGATGCGATGGAGGTGGACGAGGAGCAGCCCAACACTGGCCAAGTCGCCAAGGGCATGCACAAGGTTCTGAACAACCTTCGTCGAGCGGAGGTCAGATCCCGAAGGCTGGAGTGGAGGAGGACCGGAACGAGCTCCAGCAAAAGTGGGAGACCTATCGCCGCGATCTCCAACAGAGCTTCATCCGGGAGAAGCACAAGTTCCAGGAGCGTTTGGCCAAGCTCTCGACGGAGCTCGCGGAGGCGGAGCAGAACCAGGAGGATGCACTGCTCGAGTTGCAAGCCGCGATGCTCGAGCCGCAGACGATGCTGCGGCCCAAGCCGGAACCTGTGGAGGACCCGGAGATGGTGGCAGAGCTGGACAAGCTGCTGCAATCACCAGAGAAGCCACAACGACGTGGCTTAGCGGACCTACTTGCAGGTGCTCTGCAAAGCAGTGCTGGCAGCCGCGACGAGAAGCGCCAGATCCTGCAGGCCGCCATCGACGAGCACCGCAAGCAGCACGCCCCTACGACTCCGCCGAGACGGCGGACTACGGAGCTCCCGGGCACGCCTCCCGACCCAAAGATGAGCGAACCGCCATCCGGAGCGATGGCATCGGGCGATGGCACCTACAGTGGTGGCCTGGACCCCTCCAAGAAGCCCGAGCCCTACCAGACCTCACCTTCGGCGCCTTTGAGGCCCACTGCCGAGGGCCTCGCAAGGGTCAAGTCTCGCCCGGGGACAAGGATCCCGGTAAAGCAGCTTGGTCGAGAACCCTCCCGGCCGACGACCGGATCTACCCTCTCTGCGAAGCTCGAAGCCCGGCGAGAGGCCGAAGTGGTGCTGAGCGACGACTCGGAAGGAGAACTTGCTGGCGGCCCGCTCCGGATGCCAGGTAGCGAAGAGGCCAAGCCTGCGGAGGAGTAGCAGCTCATGGGCAAGGCCGCCCACATGTGGGCCGCGACTGCACCCGAGGAAGTGTGGTCCAAGTTTTGCTCGGCTTGGCAGCTTGCGATATGGTTGGCTTTTTCGGTCTGTCCAACCCCTGCCTTGCACTATATGAAGGTGTGACACAGTCGGGCGTTCTTGGGTTTCAAGACGCTGGCGACTGCTGGCACCTATGCGTACAGGATGCTCGGCCCACAGGGTACCATTCGTGGGTTGAGGGTCCTTTTCGGATCCTGGGCGACCATGCTACAGCCCCTCTCCAAGACGATTGTCGTGACGTGCTATTTGCTCCAGGGTATGATGGCCGGCGACTTCGTCATGGTGATCCAGCCGCCCTTTGTCTTCTACATGGCGGGGGCGCTGGCATGCAGAAACATTGGCGGCACGGCCCTTCGGGAGGCCACGTCCGACCGTACCGGCACCCAGATGCTGTGCTACAGTGGAGTGACTGGCAAGTGCAAACACCTGCAAGTCTAGGCCCGTGGGCTGAGTTTTCGGCCACAGGTTTTCTCCTGTGGAGCGAGATTTCGGCCTTTGGTCTGCTGCTGGGCGACTACGTTGTGGCTCGCTGTGTTGGTTGGCTTTGCAGCCTGGAGTTCATACAGTTTGGGGCCCTTCTCAGTCTGTTGCTTGTTGCTGCTGGCGGTGGCAGAGGCCGACGCAGACAGTGCCGGTGTGTGGCGGCACTTGGGCATCCCAACATCCTGCTCGCCTACATGGTTGTATCTGGCGGATGTGTTGTTGGGGCAAAAGCGGGGCCCACCGCTTTGTCAAGGCCTGCTTCGGTGACCACCTTTACCCCACTTGGAGTACCACGGCAGACAGACCTGGAGCTCTGGGCGTCGGGACAATTGACAGCCTATGAGCAGATGTTGCGAGCCTACGATGAAGTGCTATGGAATGCCCCTCTGGGGCACTCTGACGGTGAAATGGCTCCGCCCAACCTTTTGGCTGGGGCGGCCTCAGAGGACCTGGGACCGGCCCCTCTCTCGGATGAAGATCGGAGGGCAGTGCATATCACGATCTGGCTGGCGTCCCCGTTCTTTGAGACTTCGATCATCGACCTCGGCATTGCCTTTCCCATCATGTCTGAGCAACGCCTTTGCGATGCCGTCCGCAGCACCTGTATGGATCTACCGGACTACGCTGAGACCATCATCCCCACGGTTCCGCAGGTCGGATCGCACTACGGCAGCTGCATTGCGGTACCGGCCTGGATCCAGGCTGCTAACAAGTTCGCGCTTGTACTGGATAGCCGAGGAGTAGGGGGTGAACTTTTCGCCTTCTACCACGAGGGTGACCTCACGCGGGAGGCCATCATGCGGCATCTACCTGAGGATGATGGAGAGATTGACCTCTACCTCTTTGGAAACACTGCCCCCCTCGCGGCGGGTGTAGCCCAGGCTGCGGTACAGGGCGGTGTTATCAAGGCCTACTACTCGGGTGATCACTGCACTTGGGAAAGCCCTCTCCAGGAGCGCCTTGCCGATCCAACCCAGTGGAACCCGCGGTTAAACCCGCCGAGCACCAGCAGCGACCCCTATGTCGTTTACCAGAGTCCTGATGATCAGCTTGTGTACTACGACCTCCCGGATGCAGATGCTCACCGACAGCAGTTGGCTGAACAGCTCATGGCGTTTCGTCCGGGTCAGTGTTGGATCAAGGAACCTCAGCGGCCGGCGGATGCCCTCACACATGCCGGCCGTGCCATTCACAAGCAGATAGCGGTTATCCCGGGGCCGCAGAGCACACCCGAGGATGACCCGGAAACAACCGTACTGTTCGTTGACCTCCGCGGCCTGGCTCTCTTCCCTCAGTGGCTGCTGCTCCCTGGCCCTCTGTTCAACTCCACGGACTATCTTGCTGACCTCCCGGTCCCAGTCATTGATGGCTGGACGGTTGTAGTTGAAGGAGGCGAGAGGATGGAGCATACCGAGCTGCTGCGAGTTGACAACGGGGAGATGCTGAACATTTTCCTTCAGGAGACTGACAAGCTCACCCCTTCGCAGACGGACGAACAGAGCGACCGACCGGGACCAGAGGAAGACGATGAAGAAAGCGACAGTTCAGAGTTCATCGATCCACTCCCAAACTCTAGTGACCTATCCACTCCCTCGCCACCACGAGGTCCGCCCCCCTATGGGCCGCCGAGACCGGATCCGGTGAACCGAAGTCGCTCTCCTCGGCGACGGCCGTATGATGACACTGCGTTGTCTCCGACCG